ATTGTAATACCCCAAAATGGACGCGGCGAGCTAATTAAGTCGGACGTAAAGAAAGATAACGTTTCATAATGAAGGTGGATTTTTTGCCTATTTTTCGAGCGCCGCCATCGCCCCTCCCGTCGTCGTCCCGACGCCGCGCCGCGCCGCGCCGCGCCGGGGAAGATTTTACGCTCGACAAGCTCTCGGGGGGGAAAAAAAGGTCGTCCGAGTGTACCAGAGAGAGCAGCGGGTTTAAAACGTTGCAAGTGCCGTACCGGATATGAGGGACGCGGAGAGGGACGAAGAGAAGGAGAGAGGAAGGCGCGCGCGGACCGGAAATGGCCGCCCTTAACCCAGCGCGATCAAAAACTGGTTTCGCCAGACACACGAAAGCGCCGCCGAGAGATGAGGGAAGCCAAGAAAAAAAAAAGTGAGAAACGGAGAGAGAAAGAGAAAGAATATTTTTACCACCGCTCTTCCTTCCTCTCCGTTCTCTCGCTCGGTAAATAACGGATAATTTCGCTCTCGAATAAATCGAGGGAGGCAAAAGTTTCGGCGTTAAAAAACGTTTAAGCCGTTGCAATATTTTAAGGGAGCCGCGGAGAAACTTTAATGCAGTTAATCCGGAGTGACTTCCGCGAAATACGGCCCTGGGAATTCTCGTTGCAACGCACCGTGCAGTTTTCCCTCGCACGAACGAACGACGAAACGATTTCTATGGTCAAAACAATCGCGGGAAATAAGTTGCAAATATTAAATTTATCTGACGTGATGCTCTGCTTAAAAAAAAAGTTCGATAAAAAAATGAACCGACAAAGATCTATCTCAATGGAATTCGAGCAACTACCCTGCAAGTGATAACTTTGTATTATTCATTTTTACATTCATTTTTTTAAGTTCACAGTATATTATTAATTTTATATAATCGATATAAAATTAACGATGTAACTGTATAATCTTTTTATTTACTTACTTTAATAACTAGTGACATTTAAAACACTGTAGGTATCGAAAATTTCACTTTTGCAATACAGACCCGTAGTTCCGATTCCATCGATTAGTCATTATTACTCGTATTATTTTCTTAGAAGCGGCAATTAAGTGAATTGAAATTGATGACGAAGATACTGAAATAATGGACCGACAGCTGTCGATCTAACACAGCATAAATGCGTGACCTACTCGATCTCATTTGTCTCGTAACGCTTTGCGTCATTAAATACGTCTTTTGCTCGACATAACGCGAGAGGCATAATTACAATGCTTTTGTACCGTTAGCGTTAATAAGTTGTCCGATCGAGCTGGTCCCAAAGGCGGAGAAGATGAAAAAGAGGTCGCCCAATCAAGAATAAGTAATTACAGATCGCGCCCATTAGACCTAATGCCGATAGTCTAAAAATGGAGTAGTAAATTAGATTCCTTTGTACAGTAACGTTACAAACTCCCGGCTTAATTGACGCATTATCGCCCGTCATAATTCAGTTAGAAAACGGCAAACTTGGTACGTACTACATCGCAGTGGAAAATTAAATTAACAATTACGACAAGTTTCCATTAATTGGATCAATGCTCGATCCATTTACGTTTTAGTTAATATTCTTAAATCAGTTGAAAAAAAAAAAAAGAAATTTCTAAATCACAAAAAAAAACATTTTAAAAATTAAATTAAACATTCCGTAGACTAATCCTTAAGTGGAGAAAATCCAAGGATAGTCAGATTAAATTTGCAGTCGCAGGTCGAAAAGGAGAACCGCTGCGAACAGTCCATAAGCCGGAGAGGATCTAGCGGCTGTGTAGACTGTACTGAAATAATGTACAGTGCCGTACAAAATGGCAAGTCGGCGAGAGGGGAACGTAAAAGCGGGGCAAGAGGGGAGGGGGAGGGAGGGAGGAGGGGGAGGGGGGCTCTTCGTTTCCCTTCCTCGCGTCGCCCTCCGTCGCCCATCTCCCTCGCCCGTCGACGGGGGTAACAATGGTGTGCAAAGGAGATTAACAAACAGAATAAGCTAACGCATAATCGCATTATTTCTAGCTAAGCCGCATTTAAATTAGATAGAAATTCCATTTAACGAAACAATGCGGGGATGATGAGTCACTTCGCCGTATACGCGCTGACTCGCAATGTCGGAATAGACATTGTCCCTCCCGCCCCTCCGCCGCGACTGCAGTCCCGGCATTCCCGGCGCGATATTCCTCTCCCCCGTCGCCGAGCGAATTTCTGATTTCGCGAAATTCTTACAAGCCGGCCGTGTTATCGCGCTGCCGAGAGCACCGCGAGCCGCGTCGGAATGCCGAGCGTGTATATATTTTGACAACGATATATTCTGTCCTGCTCGGAGAGCGTACTTAAGCGAACACTGCAAATTCAAGGGTGTAAAAAGGGACTTCGGTATATGTGTATTATTTAATCTTCCATGTGAAAATGACGCTATACTACACGTTTGAATGAGTGTACACCCATATTTCAAGGTTGTCAATAAATTCATCATCATAAAATTCCGTAATTTTTTCTTGATTTTTTTCAAACAAAAATTCATAATTTTCTCTGACTTAATAATATTAATAATAATAATAATAATAATACTTTGAAATCTGTAGTCCTTTCGATTTGGAAATCGTTAAATAATATTTTGTTGAGTCAATCTATAAACATACACTGAAAGAGCAATTTTGCTGAAGAATCTAAAAATTTAGCTAGACATAGATCTGAAGAATATTGTTACATCATCAAAACAAACAGATAGGATGACAAAATTGGTTGCTAGAATATCAAAACATTTTGCAGCTTGCTCATCATGTTTAAGATTCCTACAAAATTATTTTCAGATGTAATTTCAGATATTTTCAAATGTTTTTCAGTGTAGCAATTTAAATTATTATTATCGTTGACACTGCTTGCATTTTTAATTGTCAAATTGATAGCATTCCAAGACTATATAGATGTGATGTACATACATCAAATTCTTTTAAAGCCAAGAATATTAATTTTCCAGAATATTTTGCAAAATTCTCTGATTTCTAATTTTGTGACAATCCTGTAACTATTTGTATGCAGTATAGGATGTTATACTTCTACACGGAAAACTAATCACTCACACATATACTGAAATTATTTTCCCCACATTTAAATTTGCAATGAAAAACGCGTCCCCATCCGGTTCTCGTTTATCTCAGTTCTAATACTCTAAGCAAATCCGACTCGGCCGAGTTACATTCATTTATTTTTTAATGATAAGCACCCGCCGACGATACAACACGCCCAATACAGGGACCGGGCGGTAAGGCAGGCAGATTACATTGTGAAACTAGAGCGAGCAATATTAGTCGATAGCGCGGGAAGAAAGGATACGCTATCTCGACAGGATGTAGGATTTATCCTATCTCCAGGGTGCAGAATGATATCGCCTGTTCTAGTTTCGAGGAAGCGCGATATTTCGTGCCGGCGTCTTCCGACCTATCGGTTTTGGAAAAGTATTCCCGAAACAATATGCAGCTAAACCCGCGTCAACCACCCTCTGACATTCAAGGATCTCATATTAGGTCGCAACCTAGAGAGCCCAAGCCGTCGTTTATTCAAATCAGCTGGAAAGTTAGCGCGTACCATCAATTTCAATCGAACGGTGGTGCGCGGACCACAGGAGGAGGACAGTTCGCGAGTTTGTGCGTCCGATATTTCATCGAAAGGTCGCCGTTCCGTCCCGATTTTATATGAGGGGAACACACAATTCGTTGCGCCGGGTCGTAAAAATTTTTAGAGCACCCTATACAATCGAGGAAGGACGCAAAAAGAGCGAGTTGGACGACAACGAGCCCGCCCACGTGAGAGCGGCCATGTCGTGACGTAATTCTGACGTCATTGTGCCGATAGCATGCTCCACACGCTCTGTCGGATACACGGAGGGAAAAATCGTAAAACGTGTACGGTCTCTTCAATCGTCCACTCCCCTCTCCCCCTCACCCCTATTCACGATTGACGCGCAATCCGCTTTCGAAGAAAATGTCTTTCCCGCGCCGAGACTCTCTTCCGTCGCCGGGATTCTCAAGGGGGATTTACATTTTCCGCAGAAAGTTCCACTCGCCTCTTCTATCGGAAAGATTCCTCGCGATATACCGTTTTTTCCCACTTTTCCCCGTTATATGCGCACACGTCGGGTGATACCGTACAGATTAAATTACATTGGACGCGGACGAAATCGTATTTCACCGAATTAGAAGCACCGATTTTAAATTGCTATAAATGAGAGATTTCAAAGAGCGAAATAATAATATCAAATAATATAAATAAGGAGAAAACGATCCTGCTGAAAATTACTTTCCTCTTTATCTAGATTGAAGAGAAAATCGCATCGATTATGCCAATGAATTAAACGCCCAAATCTATTTTCCAAATTACATCAATTGCAATCGATAATTTCCGCTATTTCGATATGCAAGAGAAACGAAGCATGATTTGTTCGATAAAATTACGATAAATATGATTTCACGAAAACAAATAAATATACTAAATATAAATTATTTATCACGCGGTACTTAAATTATTTATTTATAAGTCCTTCTCGCAGGTACAAATCTGTAATATTGAAGATAAATTTAGGAAGCTTTAATTAAAGTGGATTCCTAATACTGAAATATAGGAAAAACGAAGCAGATATTCATTCGGTAAAATTGCGACAAATATAACTTTCACGAAAACAAATAGATGTACTAAATATAATATATTATTTACATATATTATTTAATTATTTGAGTCCCGCAGATAGATTCCTATATGACGAAATGCAAAAAAAAAAAAAAACGGAGCACGATTGGCTCGATAAAAATTGCGAAACATATAATTCTTTTCACGAAAAGAAACAGATGAACTAAATATAACATCATTCATTTACGTAATATTTTAATATTTTATTTCAGTCCCTTCCGCAGATACGGATCTCCAATATTGAAGACAAATTCGGGAAGTCTTCCCATCGTACCCTCCGAGTAATCGGATCGGTGAATGAGGGCGTCCCTCGATCTTTTACCTGAGGACCGCCGCCCACGATTGACTGGTAGGCCGATTGAAAGACGCTGCCCAACTGCGTGAGGCCCTCGTCCTCCATCTGGAACATTATGTCCGCCCCCGGCGAGCCGTTGTTGTTGAGATTATTGTTGTTGCCCATCAATTTCTCCGTACTGCCGACGTCGGAGCGGAGTATCGTATTAGACTGCATAACTCACAGGCGGGACCGGCGCGGCAACACAATACGGGAACAGGCACGTGGCCGTTGGACTCGCGGATGATCCACGAAGCGCGGCGGAGTGTTCGAGATAGATCGCGGCGTCACCGATTAGCGGCTCCGACGTCAGACCCTAGCGACGTCGGCGTCTCGCGGCGAACGACCGCGCGCCGTTGTCATCGTCGCGAAAAATCTCACCGCCAGCACAGGAAAGGGGGATCCAGAGGAGCACGCGTCGTCAAGTGACGAGGATCCGCTTCGCAGAATGGACTTCCGCGGCTCGGGAATGATCGAAGGGAGTGCAAAGTCGCGCCCTCGTCAGGTCGAACATACCACGCACTTGTCACGATTTCGAGAACGTGGTATAGACGGAAGGGGAGAAGGGAGGGAGGGAGAGAGAGAGAGAGAGAGAGAGAGAGAGAGAGAGAGAGATACGTACGGAAGGGAGAAAAGTAAAAGGAGACACGCGGCTGGAAAAGCCCGGAATATCTTATCGCTGATTATCGATATCGCTGCACGATTTTCGTCCCCTTCGCGGATCCGCGCGCGAAATCATTAGCGCGCCGTAATCGTTCATTCGCTCGCTCGGGGAGACACGGGAACGTCACCGCGTAGTGAACGCGCATCAGGACGCACACGCGCTCGATCGCTGCCGAAGCTCCACCAGCTGCATGGCGTCGGGGATCGCCGTTTTTTGAGGTTAGAACGCGGATGGCACGCGAGAGAGAGAGAGAGAGAGAGAGAGAGAGAGAGAGAGAGAGAAAGAGAGAGAGGAAACACGTCCTATCGCGCGCGCCGCATTTCCTTTGAAGCGAGCGAGTGGCACACGGCTCTCGAGCTACGATCGCGAGTTCACTGATGTATCTACTGGAATTCACTTGGTCGCAAATACTACTTGGTTGCAAGAGGAAGTGGCGAAGAAACGAAGAAGAGCGGAGGACGCGCAAGAGATCCTCTCTCCACGAGTTACGCGACGAGACTGACGCGTCGCGGTCGCGAGGGGAGGCGATCGCAACGGCTCCTTCCACCCCCCTGCACCGGCTAAGGGCTCCCATCCCTTCCATCGACATCCCGTGCACACAGTACAGGATCCCCACTCCGCGCGCCATCGCGCTTGCCGTACGATCGCTCGCTTCGCTCGCTCGCTTCTCGTCGTTCGTTCACTCGACGATGATTCCTTTACGTCCTTTTAGCGCTCTGTTCACGCAGGAAGCAACCCCTAAACGCATAGGGCCGTTTTTGTCCACGAAGTAGCAGACGTTTGTGTACCGGCGACAAGTTAACGCGAATGCAAAATGTGGGTGGATCGCTTTCTCTCTCTCTCTCTCTCTCTCTCTCTCTCTCTCTCTCTCTCTCTCTCTCTCTCTCT